CCCCAAAACCCCAAAACCCCATAATTAGCTTAAAAATCATAAAATTGTATCAATTATTGAATAAATTTATAACAATAATAGCAAATTGCATATTTCTCCTTTTATCTAAAAATATCAATAATTTATTTCCTTCTCCAAATACTGATTTATGGAATAATCCCCTTCATCAGAATTTTTGTTTTAATTTTGACTAAGAATTAAAGTATCTGATTTAATAGATTAATCATACCAATTTTCATTTTATTTAAAATCCTTATTCTTCTCAGTTGTAAGATAATTGCTGAAAACTGATAGGGATAATTGAGTCAGAGTAACATCCCTTTGATGATTAGGTTTGATTTTTCCAACTCCTTTCTTAAGATCTTTGTTAAGATTTTTTAAAATACTATCTCTTACTGGGTTAATAACCTCAGCTTATTTTTATTTTTTTAGTTCTGGATCAAGGTTTTTGAAGATTCTTTTGTCAATTTTATTATCATCCTTGCGAAGTAAGACCTGCTTCAGATAAAGTTTAAATTGTCTCCTCGTATTTTTGTCTAATTTTTCCCACTCAAAATTTTTATCATCTGTTTATTAAGGAATATTTTAACTGTTTACCTTAAAATTCTTTTTATTCAAAGCATCTTTCATTTGAACTAAATTTTATCTGAAATAGGGAGTAAGTTTTCTTTGATAATTAGAGAGTGTTATTCTTTTTAGTAATTTAACCATCTAAATATTTCTCAATATTGTAAAGATCTCTAATTTCTTGTCAAGCATTTTCTAGGCTTTCTTAAAAAGATTCATTCTGTTTTTAATTAGATCTCTCTACTCTTTTTGCCTGCAACACCCAAATTTTCCACAATACATTTCTCAATCTGTAAGAAAAAATCTAATCCTATTTTTAACACTAGTTAATACTTTTTAATATTCTTTATTATTCTATGAGTTTTCAGGATCATAAGAAGAAATATTTATGTTTTAGGAGTTTAAGTTTTGAATTTTTATTGAATGTTTCTCTTAAACATTCTGACTCTTTTAAATTGCATCCTTATTAGTTATTTGAAATATTTCTCCTACTAGAGCTTGGTAAAATAAGTTCTCTTACACTTTAGACAATAATATTGCTAAGATTACTGAAACAATTCCAAGTATACCACCTGTGCTTGAAAGGGCATCTGAAATTGTGTAAACCTCTAAAGTTGTTGTTGAAATGTCGTCATCTAGTAGAATATAAAATCTTAATGCCTACTAAAACTTCTTATAATCTCCAATTTATGATTCATCAGCTCTAATAGTGTAGTAAGTTATGTTTTCTTAGTTAATTTGATTGGATAGTGGGGATGTATTTCTAATTAGAAAGTTTTATCCTAACTTCATTATTGACCCCTAACTTAATAATGATTGACTAGTTCGGTAGAAATTTTTTATAATTGTTTTGACAGGATTTGCATACCTTTCATTAATATCTACGAACTAATTTGTTGCTAATATGTTTACTTATAGATCATCCAGAACTGTTTTAATGTCAGTTTCATTTGCGCATTTCAAATTAGGCTTTGTTTTGTTAAGTATAGCTTAATTGCAACCGCCAATAAAAATTTGCACAAATCTAGCTTTCTTCGTTGCAAAGTTTCCTTATAATGTTGTATTGAAAGTAACTGGGCAATAGTAATTAAATTAGAGTCCAAAATTATCTGTCTATACAGTTTCACCCAAAAATCTGCCTGCAGGGCATTTAGCGATAGAAAAATCTTTAATGTCTTAGTTAAATGAAGCTCCGTCATCTGCCCAAGCAAAACTGACTTCCTGAATTTATACTGATACATATCAATCAATATTAGCTGAGACGATAGGGTCAGATGAAAATAAGCTGTAAGCTAAATCAAAGTTAGTTAAATCTATCTAGTATTATCTTTTGTCCTCAACCAAGTTTCTTCTATATTAGGAATTCGTTATGTTGCTTTTCCTATCTACTACTTTCATTATCTCAAATACTAGAAAAACAACTATCCCCATTCTGAATAGAATAGTTATGAACCCTCCAAAACATGTTTTGAATGTACTCTAATTTTTGTAGGTTAGGGAAATCGGATGGCCAAACTAATCTTATTATCTAATGAAGTTAGCTATTAAACCTCGGAAGTTTTGAGATTTATTTTACATTTTAATGCTTTTATTATTTATAAAAATAGTGAGGAACCCACATTAAATATCTTAAATCCATTATTTTCATCATTAGTCTAAATTTGATATTGGGGTTTTGGGGTTTTGGGG